GGCCGGGCCGCCAAGCCGCGGTCCGGTGGGGTTTTTACTTCGGCTCTGCGTCTTCCTGCCGCGCGAGACCCGAGGAGGAGGAGGAGGTTGCCCCTCAGGTAACAGCGCCGCGCTGCGCCTGCAGTAGCAGCGAGCGCGGAGGGGCTGGCCGGGCGGCGCCGCTTTCAGGAGGGCACTGTTTGCAAAACCGCCCGTCGGCTTTGAGCGTAACACGCGCCGTGAGAAATGCGGTGGGCTGACTTTAGTGCTTCGCCGGCCGAGGAGGCAGTCTGGCTTTTCCAAATCCTTTACTTTGTCTCTGGAAAAGGTGTCTTCGGGCACCCTTCGGAGCCGTTTGCACTGGCTTTGATTTCTTCCCTGCTCTGCAAAAGAATGGCTGACCCGGATCAGCCTGCCTGCGCAGCAGTTATTTCGGGTTTTATCTGCGCTTTTTTTCTACGTCGATTGTAAAGTCTTATATTTGAATGTTTCTGTGACACTGTTCTTGCGTTGCTGCAGTGGCTTGCTCTGCAAGCTTCCTGCCTTAATTATATGTTCTTCTGCCCTCTGTTCCCCTCGTCTGTACCCCTTAAGCTTTCACCTATAAAGTTCCTCTCTTGTATGCCCATTTTCTGTTTTTTGCTATTCATTAAAATGTCTATATTCTGTGGTGTTTTTTATTGTATTATAAGGTAGTACTCTGCTAATACTATATTTACTCTACTACACTAATCATTCTATTTAGGGATTTAGACCCTGTTCAGTTCTCAGTTTGCATTCATAATCTGTATATTGAGTCTTGAGTTACCCTGTTTTCTTTGGTTTACATAGACACGTCCTTGGAGGCAAAGTTGCATCTTTTTATGTGCTGGGCCCTGGAATTATTGGTGTATATGAGATCCCCTCATCATGTAACCATCTCTGCACCTTCATTTTCCTTCTCTCACTCTTGAACTTTCACATCTAGCCTGCTTGGGGACTTTTTTTCTGCGTGTGTGTGTGTGTGTGTATACACAATTGACCAGGAATTATTAGGCTTTTTTGCTAAACTGCCTGTAAAACTGGGTGTTTCAATGTTATCTAACATCCTTCATCTTAAACAAATGGCTTGTTTTATTAACAAAGCAGTAGCAGAACCAACAAAACTTGACTTTGTGTAGATCTGCCTCAGTGCTGAGTTCCTATGTGCATTATCTAGGCAACATTGAACTCAAATTACAGCCTTTATTTCAGAATAGCTAGGTTTTTTTGGTACTTTTAAGAACTTCGTGGTTCCTGTAACTTAGAAAATACCTTTTGTCCCTTTTGCTGTATTGAGGTCTGTCTTCGTACTTTCTGTTTCATGGTATTTCTGGGCCAAAGGAAAAATCCTGTGAGGAGGGTTGGTGATAAAGTGGTGAGGATCGTCTAACTTCCCTAAGTCATACAGGTCATAGTGGAAGAGCCTCAAGTATTGAACATATTGGCTAGTTCTTTGCTTATATTAACAAGAACAAAAAATATTTTGACTATTTAGTTCCAGTGTAATCAAGCAAATGACTGGGGAAGAACCTTCTTTCTGAAGAAGAACCTCTGTTGATCCATAGGACAATGCTGTATTTCGTCTTCAGAAAACGATGGAACTAAGTCTGTATCAGAAGCGGCTTTTGAAGGACATGCAGATACTGAATAATTGACTAAATGGAAGGCTTAAGTCGATAACTGTGAGAATATTTGCCAAATATGAACGTAGGTTATAACTACTAGAAAATAAATGTTGAAAGAACTTATGCCTTCTTCCCTTCTTTTCTTTACCTGGTTGCTATCCACTAGAAACACGTCTTACAATTCACAGGAAACCACTGTGGAAAACAGTGATGTAGTTTCTCAGTGAATTCTGGAAAGACTTCTGGACTCACAGAGGAAAACGTAATTTCTGGAACAGTGAACAAAAATAACTAATTAAACAGACTACTCAGATATAGCTACCTTATAAACATCACTGTAATATAAACAGAGCATTTGCTATTATATTCATTACAGGAAGTAAAATTCACATTTCTCTTTATTTTCAGGTACTGATGTTGTATTAGCCTTCTTCTGCTTTGAGTCAACATGGCGAAGAAATCGGAGGCTCCACTTTCCTTAGCTGACTGTCTCTGCCAAATTTGCATGGAGATCTTTGTGGAGCCCGTGACACTGCCATGCAGCCATACCCTCTGTAACTCATGTTTCCAACTGACGGTTGAAAAGGCTAGTCTGTGTTGCCCTTTCTGTCGTCGTCGAGTCTCTTCTTGGGCACGATACAACACCCGCAGAAACACTCTTATCAACTGGGAACTCTGGGAAAAGATTCAGAAGAATTACCCAAAAGAGTGTGAGCGCAGAATTAATGGACAGGATTTGGAAGATGAAAGTAAGTAAAATGTCACTTGTTCCACAATGTCTATGCATTACCCCAGTGATTAGTGTTAGTGGACTTTGGATGTTGTGAAATAAGAAACTATGCATAGACAGCTGTGTTATTGCTAGAAAGTGCTGGAAAGTGTCAGAGCTCTCATTTAAAAGGGACTAACTAAGGCAGAGAAATGGACGTGCCTTTTTCTTTTGTAGTATAGAGAGGGTAAGTTATATATAAATTTAAGTGGATGTTTGTTGTTTTTGACACAAACTATTGGTGTATAGCTCACTGCTTGTAAAGACAGTAATGCATTACTAATACAACTTCAGCTGTAAAATCTGTAAACGAAGTTAAAGACTTTTTATTTAGTTATTTTTCGTCACTAACATGTAAGTGAAGTGGTGAAAATGTTTCAAGTCTCATATACTTCAGTTTATTAGCCGATTAGAAATTCCAGGGCTTCAGTTTATCCAGGAATCTCAATAGATGCTAAAATTGGGATGTGAGACGATACGAAGTGAAATCTGATCGACACCTTGCAGGAGGGTGGCTTATGTGTGTATTTTGTGTCTGGTTTGTTGTTTTTGTTGGGGGGGGGGTGTGTGTGTATGTGGGTGGGGGGGGTTGTTTGTTTTTATAGACTGTTTTAAAATTTGACATCTTCTGACAGTTAATACTGGGGGGAGGCTAATTTTGAAGCGGCAACATTTTCTTTCCCCATACCTCTCTCCCAGTGCTTCCTAATATGTTCAATAGCAATACTGGCAATGATTGTTTAACACAAATCAGGGAACAATGGATGAGGTAACTTTAGAATTTCTCCAGTAAAGCAAGAACAAAACGCGTGACCAGATTGTTTTTGGTGATCTTCAGGTCTGTTGCATTAGAGTGACTTAGGACTGAAGATCTTGATTGTGTTGAGGGGCTAACTTATCCCCTCAGCAGATCATAGTATTCTGCCTAGGTATGTATAGCACAGTCAGAATATCCTTGGAAGAAAACAAAAGATTTAAAGTTCTGAATGGTTTGTTTTGTCCTTCTTGATTTTATGAGACATTGATCTACTTGCAGAATTATGAAGTCTTTTTTAATTGCAGAAAGTGAAGGACACTGTTTAACATACATACTTGCTTTGTATACAGGGCTTGGAAAATACTGACTGTTCTTGTTACTTAGTAACACACAGGCTACTCTTTTTTTAACATAACACTTGATTTAAATCAAATTATTCATGTATCAGCAAGGAACTTTTTTTGTTAATTTTTTGTTGTTGAATGTCATAATTTTACTTTCTTCCTTTATTATTTTGTTTTTTTTTTCCTTTTCTTCCTCTCTGAATTAGTCTGTGTGTCCCAGCCACAACACCAGCTGAGCAAGCCTGGGGAACTGAGACAGGAATATGAAGCAGAGATTAGCAAGGTAAATCTAAAAATGTTTTCGAAAGTATAAATGTTTTGTATCTAGTTATTTTAATCTGAGAAGTACAGAATGACTTCATTAGCTGTTCAATTTTTTTTTTCTTCCTTTTCTGTATGATGTTTTGACACAACGATGTTATATATTTTCTAGTGGTTGTGGCAGCTGAAAAAAGCTCTTTTCCTGGTGGTTCATTTGTCTCCTGTTAAATCCTTTAGGGCAGCTGTATATGTCGTAGTATGGTGAAATGGATCAAGGAACTAGATCAGTCCACTGATCTGCTTTGCTGTCTAGTCCCCACAAACAGTTGTAATGAAATTTAGAGATACTTAAATGGAAAGATATTTAGAAGGCCATTGTTGCCACAAGAACACAGTAGTGATTCCCTAAAGATGAATTAAATTTTATCCTTTACTGAAGAGACTCTAAGGAGGATATATACTCATAGTGTACAAAATCCTGAATAGGAAAAAGAACTTCATATCACAATGATCTATAATCAAGTATGCAGAGACATTAAACTTAATGACTAGAAATGAGCCTGTCACAGAAGAGGGTTCCATGTCCATTTATGATACTGTCTAAAGTGTTCTGCTATTGGCATGTCATTTGTAACATATGAATACCATTTTGGAAGGAAAGAAGAAAGGGCAGGCAAGGAGAGTGCATGTTTTTAAGTGGAGCAAGCAGTTGTTGTTAAAGTAGAAATTACAGTTATTTTGCAGTTTGGACACACAGTTGACATAAGTTGAAAGAAGCAGACCTTGCTATTAGTTTAGCTGTTTGTGCTGGTACAGAGGGCTGTGTTTTCTGACAGTAGCTTCAGCTTGTGCCAGCTTAGTGTTCATCAAACTGCAGCCTTCTGGTCCGTGACTGTAAGTCAAGGTTGCAGGGTTAACTCTTCTAGACCTCTTGCTCCTCATCCAGAGAGTTTGGGACTTAAAACTCTTACCTGTTAACTTTTTTCACTCCTGCATGTTATGCAGGAAGTGAGGTCAGATAACTCGAATGATTTCATTTCAACTGACCTTTTATTCTTTTAATTCTAAATAAAAACATACCAATGTCTGTACTGGGTCAGACCACAGCCTCTATAGTTCAGTGTCTTTTCTCTAACAGTAGCCAAGAATGGTTGTCCAGGGAAGACTGTAAGAATGGGATAAATACGTATAGTTTTTCCACTGAGCACCTTCCCGGCCTTCAGCCATTACAGAGAAGAAACTTCCTTGTGTTTGACATAAGGCCACGTTTTCAAAGTTTTCCTCTGCCAGTTGAACTGTACCTCCTACCTTACCTTCTCAGTTGTTCCAGTATTTGTGGTAAAGGTAACATAACATGTCTTTTTATCTCTGCCAAGTAGGTGTGCTTCACAGGCTGGGAAATGCACCGAAGTATCAATACAGCAGAATGCCCAGGCAGCTATTAGTCAATACCTCACACTTCCCAAATAGAAGAGTTCTTCCAGGATTTAAGTGTCACCTTTTTGTTATCTGCATGCCTGCCCCAACCTTAAAAGGCTTTTATAGGTCCTCATGTGCACATACAGGTATTTCAGACTAGCAAACACTAACGTTTGGAGCTGTTTTGGCTTTCTTGTTGTACTCGCCTTCGTGATTTCCCTGAGTAACTGACCACAATTAGATGAACTTCAGTAATGATCATATAGTGTTTTCTTATTTACTGACTCCCTGTGTTATTCATGTTCATTTGAAAGTCGGAAAGGAAAAAAAAAAATGTTTGTTTACTCATGGATCCTTCTTCATCCAATTCAGACATGGTACTAGTAAGAATTTCAGTTGGAAATAGTATCAGAATGCTCCTTTTTCCTAAAAGTGTTGTTCTTTGTTACAAGAGCAAGGGGAATGCGTGAAGTACGTGACCGTTGGATTCTCTTCTTGTGGTAGTTATGGGATGAGATTGATCATCAACAATAGCATCAATGGATAGTGGAGAGGGAAAAGCAGTGAAATACGAGGGGTATGAGGTGCTGTTAATAACATGTAGATATAGGCATTACAGACATATAATTTTAAACAAAGTCAAACATAAAGCTTGTGAATTGTTGCAGCTGTTGATGCTCTTCCCTAAAGAAAATTTCCAGATTCACTATCCAGTTCAAGAAAGCTTTATTCATTCTTTAGGTTACTCCAAAACAGACAGCGAAGTACTTAAGTGATTTCTTGAGTGCTTATCTGACTGAAGGAAGGCAGGCAGGTTCTTGCCCTGCTGCTTTGGGTTTTGCGTGTTCCAAGCGAATATAAGGACACAGAAGAGATCTGTACCATCTTCTAGACTTCCATGTTAATATTTGGAAATATGAAGATAAAAATAGACTGAGCAACCACTGCAGTCTAGCTCTCTTCCAGCCTTAAAGAATCTTAATTTTAGTTTCTCTGTAGATCCATATATTTGCAGATCTCTAATTGTTGTTAGTAACATTCATTTATTCACCTTTTGAAAACACATTTCCACCTTTATTAGCAAGGTTAACAGTGTAGTCTTACAAAAAACAAAAGGTAGGGCACAGTTATCAAATTGAAGAATAAAATTGATACTGTGCAGAGTCTTGCATCTTTGGAGTGTTCCTTAATTAAATATTGGTCTTGAAGTGTACAGTGTGTCTTTGAATAGTGGATCGCTCGCATTAAATGAATGTCACATAGGAAGACAATTTACAGAACCTCCTATAGTAGTAACCAGATACTTTTAAAAAAAAAAAAAATCAGGTGGAGGCAGAAAGGCGAGCACACGAGCAAGAAGAGAACAAAGCAAGTGAGGAATACATTCAAAGGCTACTAGCAGAAGAAGAGGAGGAACACAGATTAGCAGACGAAAGGCGGAAGGAAATGGAGAAACAGCTAAAGCAAGATGAAGAGTTGGCATGGCAACTGAGTAACAGTCTGGTGAGTTAGAATCAAGGACAAGGTTAGAATATGTTCATTTAGCGCAAGCAACTTAGACTTTTCAGAGCAAAAGTCATAATTGAGTAATTTAAACTTATTTGAATTGTAGTTAGAAGCTGTTGTCAGCCCTCAGTGCTCCTTGACTGACCGTTAATGAAGAACCAGTTTTTGAAGAACCAGTTAGAGGGCAAACTACCCTAAACATGTCAACGTGTTTAATATGCACTTGAAACGCCTGCTAGAAACTTTCAGTGTGAAAAATTTTTAAACATTGTTTTTCTCCTTTTCCCCTTAATTTCCAAAATACTTGGAAAAATATCCATATCTATAACCTGCATTGAGAAAGGGAAAATACAATTACATTTGAGTAAGTTTAACTTGCAATATTTTTTTGCTACCTGATAGTAGTAGTTGTAATGATAAAACCTGAGGATTTACTATTCAAACAAAATCTCTTGTCCCTCAATGCTATAGGAAAGTGTATGCAGCCTGTAACAGTTCTTATTCTGTTACTATCTTACTTAGTTTTGTGAATTCCTTGGACAGAAATAACCAATTCTGTGACAGAAGTTTTCCAGTTTGTGTTTTACTTTGTTTTATATAAAGCTATTTTTACTTTTGAAGAATGAAGATGCCAGAGGAAACAGGCTCAACAGTCCTTCGCCAGCAGGCACTCTCTCATCTGAAACATCTCCAGTTAATTTATGCAAGATGAAGAACAGATCAAGCAGCTCAGGAGACATTCAGAAGTAAGTGGTCCAAGCTTCTGTTCTATAATTATTGGTCTGTTTCTTGGTATAGTGTATCTCTGCTCCATTTGCTTCATTGGAACCTTGCAGTCCGACTTCCCTGGATAATCTGGGGCAAATGTAAGCTGTTGAATGTTAAAACATGTCCTCATAGGACAATATGTAGGACAAGGGAAACACTGGCCTTGCTTCTGCTGTTTTTGTATGTCGGGGTGAAACTGAAGATCTTGATTAATGAAGGGGACTCATACTTCAAGAAAAACAAGCTTAAATAAGGTTTTTTTTTCCCCCCCACCCCCCTCCCTTTAAGGTATCTGTCTTCAAAGTCTCATCCTATGTTGGGATCAACATCGCTCTCTAGAACAACTGAAAGAGGCAGGACTGACTCTTGCTCTGTGGTAACTAGAATAATTTTCTATAAACTTCACTGTTAGTTTGTTTACTTTTCCCCCCCCCCCCCCCCGGCCTCGCTTACAGTAATGCACATCAGCACTGGGCAATATCTTTCCCTTTATGAACTCCCTTTAGTATTCATGGTTCCTAAAAATGGAAAGGGAAGAAACCACGCTTGACGGTCAGCAGCCACACACCAACAGGTTGCTTGGATAGTTACCTTGTATAGCTAAGCAGAGGTTCCAGTTAATTAAACTTTACAGTTGAGAAGAACTTTGAAGTTTAAGTCTGTATCTTGTGCAGTATTTGTCTGCCCCTGGATGCTTGTTTTTTCTCAATTCATGAGTTATCACAAGTTCACAGACAACTCTAGTTGCTTTAAGTTTTTCCTCCAATTCCACAGCTTTTTTGAAGGTTTCAGTAACAGTTACTCCTCTGGTTTTGGAAAGGCATAGTTACTGTTTACATAAGCTTCTTCAGCAAGCTCTGGCCTGCAACTGATGACATATAAACTAAAATGATGATTCTACAGCTCATTGGCGGAGGTTGCACTGACTATCATTCACCATTTCACCAGTCTGTCTGTATATGCCTTGGTCTCTCCTGTTAGGCTCTTAAAGAAAATGAGCATGCTAATACCTGCAGAAGTTGATTTGAGTCACTGATAAGAGAAGAGAAGGCTGCCGTTGCTTTTTTTTTTTTTTTTCCAGTCTTCTAGCTAGGCTTTTCTGTAGATTGTTTTAAATACTCTTATTTATTTAACAATTTTGTATTTTTAAGGAGAGTATCCAAGGAGAAGTATCCAAGTTAATATCCCAGAGTAGTCATGAGCAGTGCATTTACAAGAAATGAAATTTGCATTTTATTCGTACCCACTGGTTTTTGATAAATTTATTTTATTGGGGTGTCTCTTTTCTTCAGGAAAGCAATAGCAATGAAAGCAGCAATTCTGTGTGGCAAGATGAGCAAGAGGAAATGCCAACACTGTCTCCCCAGCTGACCAGTGTGATTAAAGATTGTAGTGCTAACGATTCATTTTTAGAATCATGCATGAACTATTTAAGTGCCTCAGCTTCAGTGGAATTCACCACTGTCAAGCAGGAAAAAATACCAGGACCAAACTGTGCAGGAGATGAAGTTCCATATGCCATTTGTGGAATCGCAAAAGGGGAAGGGTCTAGAACTGTACTTCCTAGACTCAAAGGAGAAGCAGATGGAATTGAGTTGGACAGTGGCAGTTTAACACATGTAGAAAGCATAAAACTTGAAAGCTCACCTGAAACTACTACTTATATTCAGTCAGCAACCAATTCCATGGTGTCTGATAGCAGAAGTATAATTCATGGTCTCATGAAGGCAGCGGGAAAACCAGATGAAGAGAAACTGGAGAACCCTAAGGAGACCCCCAAAAGAAAGTTGGGGGAACCACTAGCTGAAGCAGTGGTTGACTTGGGCTTGCTTGATAAGAGGAGAAGAACTTTTCCAGAAACTTCAGAGGACCAAGGGGAGCAGATAAACGATTTTAATGTGCAAATGCAGAAAGCCTTTGAGCAGGAGTTCTATGAAAGGCGCATGCAAGAGGAGCAGGATAGGCTTCTGGCTCTGCAGCTACAAAGGCAGATTAACAAGGAGGAAAGGACACTTAATCGACGGAAGGGCTCTCCAGATGAGTACCACCTTCGCACCAAACCACCTCAGACTGCGAAAGACTCCCCTACTAGAAAGGGAAGTTCTAAGGTCGTGAAGGACTCAAAGCTACCAAAAAAACAGGCTGAGACAAATCACCGCAAGATTCGGAAAGGTTCTTGCAATGAAAACTGGCAGTCCCCTACCAGAGTCCGAATGAAATCGCCCAGCATCAAAGGCGGGAAAATTTTGAATTGCGTTGTTAATACCAGTGACTCAAATGATATTTGTTCGTTACCAAAAAATAAGCAAAAGACAATCCTTCAGATGTTTAAAAGATCTGTTGCAGAGTAGATCAACAGAACTACAGAGGCACGGTGAAATGAATGAGAATTAAAGCCATCGTAATGCTTTTTCCTGTGTTAAGGCAAAACTTCCTGTACAGTTTTAAAGTTGATGGTTTTGAGGGGAGTCACTTTGGGCCACAAGTGCAACCAAAATTGTGTTGTGCATTCTGAGAAGTTTTAGTAACTTATGCCCCTAGACCTTAAGTTTTAACTGGTCTTTTCTTGATTGCAGTTTATTTTCCAGGACTGTTTTTCATTTACATAGTTTTGAATGTAAAGGCTGTTTAAAAACTAAAAACTTAAAGTCTTAGAATGAAAATTTAGAGCCTTTTATGGGAAAGATGCGTATCTGCTGGAGGAAGCAAACAAAAAACTAGTACACATATACAGCTGTCTGCCCAACTGCAAGGTTGAGGCTTCACTCAGCACAACCACAATTTTGTTGAATTGAAGGAAGTTGCTGGAATGTAGATTGTTTGTTGAATGGCATTGTTTGCCTGGCATTTAACAAGTATTACCAGACAACCAGTCTTGCAGACTCTCTCTTTCTCTCTTACTATAATACACTATTATCCTAATTTTATTCAAAGAAGAAAAACTAGCTGCTCCTCCCACTGCCAAAGGGAAGGATCATTCATAGATGACAATAATGAAAATGGTTGTGGGCTTGTATTTGCCTCAGTTCATAGAAGTCGCTTCTGTAAATCTGACTTTCAAGACAGATAGGAAAAACATACTCTTGTCTTCTTAATTGCTAATGTTCTATAACTTTATAGTTAGATAGCAGTAAATATAAGTAATATTATAATTTCCCTTCTTAACCTGGTTTGAGTTTGATGAAAAGCATATAATAAAAAAGTAATTAGACCAGGAGACAGTTCTGTTGGCGGGGGGGGAAGCCAAAAGGGGAAAAACAACTGAAAACTTGAGTTGTCAGTAGTGAATTAACAAGTACAATTAAGGATTTATTTAATTCTCAGCTTTAGTTTAGCTATGGTGGCTGGGTATAACTTCCCCGTTTTTTTAGAGAGACTAACAAATACTGTCTTCCAGTTGGGTTTAAAAAGTAATGTCATTCAAATAAATAACAAATTAGACATGCAGAAAAGTTGATGTCTGTGAAAAGTGAGCTAGCTGCTAGTCAACAGACTAAGAGTTCCTATCATATTTCTTTCTCTGTTAGTATGAAACCAACTTTTGGCCTTTGTTTTGTACCAGTAGTTGCATTTTGTGTGTTTTTTCTTTTCTTTTTGACTAAATGTTTTTGAAGGAGAACAAAACATTAATCTCTGAAAAGTGTGTGTTGGTCACTGCAATTTAGCAAATGTTTCAAGTGTATACTTACTTGGACCTCACTGAAGATCGATAGATTGTTAACTCAGTTCTGGGAAACGTACAAAAAAAACTTCTGACATTTTACATTTTAAAAAAAAAAAAATTAAACTGAAGTTTTCTCAACAGCATGAACAGCCCACTAAGCCAAAAACATGGGTGTGGGGTTTGTTTGTTTTCTTTGCTTGTTTGTTTCTAGCAATTTGTAACAGTTCAGGAATGGGTTTCTCATAACTGGTTTATTCTAAGATGCTTTTTGAGAAAGTTACAACAGGCAACCTGTTATAAATCATTCACTTGTCTTCTCTTGTTGCTGCCTCAACCATTGTGCTTGGAAGCCTTTGTTCAATATGGATCTGTTCCTGTGCAGTCCTTAAGGTTGTTCAGTTCATTTTCTGTGCCACTTATCTTACCCAGCTGGTCACATATAATCCTCCGTTGATTAAAGTGTTTCTTTAAGGCAGAGGTACTGACTCTTTTTGGTGGTGGTTGTTCTTAAGTCATTTCTTCAGTCCTAGTTTACAATCAATTTCTTGAGTCTGATGTTCATTTTTTAACTTGCTCAGATGTTTAGTTTTTACTGTTGTGGGCCAAACAGTCTCTACTCCAGGACTTGTTACTTAATTTATTGTCAATTACCACAAACTTTTGATCACTGATTTGAGTTTTGAGAGAAAAACGTACACAATTAACACAGGGAAACACTTTTCCTTCCCTTTCCCCAGGCTCAGGTTCAGTCAAACACTGTTCCTTACCCCTTCCTAGTGTCAACCTCTCCTATTTTTGCTGAGAATTAGACTTCATCAGTGAAGCAATGAGTGGCCCAGGAGGTTGGGTCATGTGCCTACTGGTTTCTACCTGCTACTCTTTGCCTCTTAGTGAGGTTTTTCCAGCACTTACTTCTACAGGCTTCTCCATCTTGCTGCTGGAGCTTAGGGCACTGGTGAGCTGCAGTCACTCCCACAGAGTGGCTCGGCTGTGGTCCTTCAGGGTGTCCTTACTCTGGCATGGAGTGCCTACTTAAGCAAGGGTGCGTCTCCAGGCGTCTCGTTCCTGTTTGCTCTGTATCTCCTCACCTGTCTCCAGACGTATCGCATCTCCTCGCGTACCTGCCCTCCTAGAGGCTGCTCCTCTTTCTTAAATGTATTTGAGCAGAGGCATGGTATGCTCCTCTGCTTCGTTTAAGTTTTGGTGCAATGTGTCATCTACAGTTTCAAAGCCACTTGGAATGGGTTTTAATGGTGCAGGCAGTTCCTGGCCTCCTTCCACACAGGTCACCCCTGCTACCACTACCCTGCAATTATTGCCAATACAACTGCCTTTGCAGTTTGAAAAGCTTGACTTCTATGGCTGTGACAGTGTTTCTGTACCCCTATAAGGGTTTTGGATTTTTGCCTTTTTCTTCTGAATCACTTCTTTTAATGGCTAGCACTGAATCTCTGGTGTTTTGAGCTGCTATCCATTTATATGTAAGAAATAATCTTAACTACAGTATCAGAAGTTGTAATACATTTAATTAACTGTATTTTCCTCAGATCTGACCAACATTTTACTGCAGTACAGCTGACAGCCAGGTCCTGGTGTTTGTCATATACTCAGTGAAAAAGAGTGAGACAAAAGGGGGCTAGTTCTGACACTGTAACAAGCTGACACTGAGTAATGCATACTTAATCATAAGGAAGGAGGCATTTCGTTTTAAAAATGCAGCATCTGAGTTTATTGATTCAGCAAGGTTGTGCAGTCTAGCTGAGAGTATGTTTCTACAAGCTGCAGTAAGCTACCCTAAGCTCTCAGCACTTGTGCCGGCTTTGGCACTCATAGACTCTCTATAAGCTAATTCAGCAATTCAGCTTGTTCATGGCTTATGGGAAGCATGCGGGGGGAGAGGGGAGGGGTTAAGGGAGAAGTAAGTCTCCCCTCTTCTGGCAGAAATGAGCCATGTGCAGCTAGCTCAGCTGCATATGAAAGCATGTCCTGATGCTTGGAGTTGCCATATTTAACACCAGTTTCATTCTCTCTTCCTCCATTAGTCATTTTTGTGGATTCTTTTTTTCCTCCCCTTGTAATGTGTGGGTTATGTGACTCTTCCATATGAGGCTTATGAAATGCACTAAACTAATCCCAGTTAGAAGCTGGGTAAGAGGCTGTGGTGGGTTTTTTTTTTTTTCATCGTACTCCACTCTTTCACAAACTTAGTTCCTTGCAATAAATGGCAAATGAGCCAGTTTGTAGCTATGATTCCACTGAAAATAAAAACAAGAATTGCAGAAAGCCATTTCAAAGGTCTAAATAGTACATTGCTATATTTTGGTATTTAGTTATCTGTGGAGGTTGATGGGGTTGGGGGATTGTTTGTCTTTTTCCCCTCTACTGGATTTTGTCCTCTTGGTGTAAGCATGATCTTTTACATAAGAATCTTCTCTCTCTCTCCCTCTCTCTTTTCCCTCCTCTTCGTTTTAAGCTATTTGGGTCTATCTTTTGACTTTGCATGCCCTACAGCTCAAGATTTTTCTTCTTTGTTCTGCATTTACACTTTTCTCAGCTTCTTAGAATTCACTTTAGCTTTGGCTTGACTGGAACAATCCTCATGTTTTGTAAAATACATCTTTCAGTGTAGAAACGTTTCAAGATTGTTGCAGTACGGATAAAAGCAAGAGGTAAAAAAGGCCATCATCAGCTAACCGCTAACCTTAACTGGAAATACACCAAACCAAGAAGCTAGACCGGAAGGCCCGTCCCACAGCCCCTCAGAGATAGGTTTCTGCAATCGCTTGGGTCCCAGAGGGGTTCACGCTCGCTGGGCGTGGGGCAGGGTGAGCCGTGGCAGGCACTCGTTTGGCCCGTCCTTTTGGGCGTGGGTAAAACGAGGCCAGTGCTGAGCAAGTTTTGGTGGCACCCTATTTCCGTTGCTGCTGTGTGAAGCAGGTGAAAGCAGCCTTGGGCAGTTTGGGCCAGGTGATGGTGACTGACAGCCATTTTGTGGTGTCCCATTTGGGAAGCCGGAGTCCTCAGTTAGGCTGCCTGAGCCTATATAAGGGTTTGCTGCTTCTCAAAGGGGGTGAGCTCACCTTTTGCCTCGAGCTAGCTCAGCTCACCCAGTTGGCAGGAAAAAGAAGTGCCAAAAAGCAAAGAGTTTGGCGGGCTCCGTTGTTTCACTGGGGTCCATAGAGGATCCAGAGCCGGGTGGGAACTGGGGGTGGGAAGAGGAGCAAGAGAGGGAACCCCTCTACCCATTTTCATGGCGTTGTCCTCTGGTCTCGGGGACGAGCAGCGCGGAGCTGCTGACGGCCGCAGCGGGAGGGAAGGGGAGGCCGCGGGGCG